AGATATAAATATTTGGTGCATGCAAAAAGATGTTTTCATCCAATGAATATTTTATAAGACATCTCTGGAAAGAACGCTAAGAGGATCTAGCGAGATGAGTAGCAAACTCTCAATGTCAGAGAGATTCCTTTCAATCCAAATATATAGTCTGCACAGCAGACTAAGTCAGGCTACAGACACGCAAACAAGAGCATCCCTAAGCAAAATCAGTTGGTGTATTGACCTGAATTTGAAATAAATCACACACTGAGAAGTAGCTTGCCGCCTATCCCAGTAATCTAAAGCACATCTTGCAGCCTTGATATCCATCAGCTTACCCTTGCTACACTGGAGCTAGCCAAACACCAGCCAGGTCCAGTAGCCAAGCAACTACACTAGCAAAGTGTTTTTCAGCCAACTCAGCTCCTTGGCCGAACGTACTAATTCTGGCAGAGCACTGCACCAACCCAGCGACAGTTTCCAGAGCACAGCACGTTCATGCCTGGCCATATCAGAACGTATGTGAAGCGAGTTCATACCTGTATTCACGTAAACGTGTTCTCAGTGTCCACAAACAACTGTCTTCAATTTAATTAGCCTAGCACCCGTGTACCTATCAGCAACACTTGTGCTGCTGGCCAGCCAGCTGATTAAGCTTTCCTAACTACGTGCAGCTTTGGGATTCTGCCCAGGCACATGAGAGTTCCTGATCACAGCCTCATTTCCAAATACCATACTGCTGTTTAAAATGACTAAAATTGCAGGTCAGTTTATAGAAACGTAGTGAAATGAGCAAACATACTTTCTCGCTTCACAAGAGGACTTAACGTGCGAGTACTTAAATGCGAGTCTTTCATTACGTCATTATCTTGCATGTGTGACTCAGTGCATCGGACACTGTTTCTCCTGAACAGCTATGCACAGTTATTACAGCAATGCCTCGCAGCATTGCCAAACATCAGAGATGTTCACCTTATCTTATGCACTTTTGCATGGGAGAAACAGGCACAATTCTAGTCACTGATTTGCCATGCATACCCTACTGGCCCATTGCCTTTTTTAACTTGTTCAGAAAAGCTCTTTTAACTCCTCCATGTACATGTTCAAAACGTCCTGTAAATTAGCACACAGCTGTCGAAACAACAGATCATAATGTCTCTATTTATCCCCTTCTGATGTATCTACTTTTCCAATGTTGACTATTTCTTTAATCTGGCAATGACTCTCTTTGGAATCTATTATTACTACTGGGTTTCCCTATGTATGCCAGCACAGAATAAGGCTAAAACTACCCTGCCCAAAGTGGGGTCACTTTCTCCATATACCTCCCTAACTGTGGTCAGGGCACAGCAGGATAGTAATCAGAAGAAGATTAAACACAAAAGGGAAAATGCATCCAACCAAAATGTGTTTTTAAAGGTAAATGCTGCACAAGGAATGCAAGTTTGGGCCCACAGTTAATCTGGTAATATAGGTACATCTGACATACTCGGACAATATATGACACTATTTCACACACACTAAGATGGTAGTGTACTTATCGCTTTTACAGATGATTTTGATAACCTCACAATGCTGTATTTCTGTTCCTTTTTCCAGGTATGCATTTAACTTTCACCTTCCACGTACTGCTTTTTAGAAAGAATCTTTTAGTTAATGACGATCCAGTCAGTGCCACCGGGTCTGAGTGACAAAGGGGGTTATCCTGATGTCATGGACTAGAGCAAGAACTTTGCTACCAACCTACAGAAGCAATTTTGGCCTTTTGTCACAGGAAGCGGTCACTATGCTTTCATAAATCTGAAAACTAAGAGAGGCAGTGGCAAGCATAAAAACAAAGGTTTTGGAAAGTGTTATGAGAGGAACAAATCTTAAGTGCAACAGATTTGCTCACAGCTCGGGGTCCGATGCTTTTGCGAGGCAGCATGGGAGCACCACCGCAACTCTTCTGACGCGTTCCACACTGCTTTTTGCTGGACCGAAACGCCTGAAACCCCTACGTTTCTTGCAGCAACAGGCCACGTGTCGAGAGGGTGGGTTCGGCACTTGGTTCCTTCGCAGGCTGCAGGTACCAAGGCGGGCGAGAGCCGAGGGGCTGAGGAGAACACGTCTGGCTGAGGTACCAGCAGCGCCAGCATAACCTGCGTCGCCTGAGAGCGGTCCTGGGCGAGAGCGCGGCGCTTTTAGCCGGGACTCCTTTGAACCGTGCTTCGGGAGCTCCCAAACACGCAGCAGCTCTCACACTGCGCTTTGGGGACGGGTTTGGGGTTTTTTTCCCCCCTCTCTCCCTCTGCGCCACCTCAGGGCGGCCACGCGGCTCCCCAGC